ATTTAGGAAATTAAGCTGTTCAGTTACCCGCTCTCTGCAAGGGGTGTCAGGATTGATTTCTCACTTATTTGTTGTATCAGCAGCAGCCTTTACAATCTGAAGTGTTTCGACCATAGGAAAGACAGAACACAATGCTATCAAAATTTTTAAAAAAATTTTTTTAAAAAGGAAACCAATAACCCCATCAAAATTGGAGAAGAAGGCAGGAGTTCTAGCTTTTAATCTCTGCCCTACCAGTAGTTTGTATGCTCCCCTCCCCCTTCCCTTGTTTTGTTGCTTTCATAGTATTTAGGGGAATGATTCACATGATTTTTCTGAATTGGTGTAAAAATAAAAATGGCTATTCTTTTTGGGCTTGTGGTTTTCAAATTGAAGTTTATGCCCATTTTGAATTCTATAAATATTTTGGTGACAGAAATTCACCACCAGTTTATTACATTCATGAAATGGTTTCCTTCCTGGAATAAAATACTGGGAAGAAAGGAAGCACCAGTGTACACCAGTTACCTGAAACTTTTCGGTACCTGCTGTTTTCCGTAAGGATGCATCAGTTCATTAGCATTAGTTGGGTCCCTTTCGATTGTTAAACATGAGCCTAAGAATTTGCATTTCCCTTTTGACCTATTGTAATCAAATAGTGCAGAAGGGTGTAAAAGTAAAAAAAGATTTATCCCCTTGACCCTGATACTGTCATAGCCTCCGAGTTAACATGCCTTATTCTCATTCATACGTCAGATATGCTCCATGTGTGTATGAGCATATTTAAATATGTAAAATTAAAAAAAGCACTTGAGATTATATTATTTATACGGTTAAGCATCCCTACTTTTTTTATTCCACACATTCTGAATGTTTTTCCATATTGATGTATATAGAAATACTTCGCGATTTTACCAGATACTTATTGTACCCTTGCTGACAGGTAATATAGTGTGGTGATAACCCCCTCTACTACTTGGGTTTGAATCTTGCCTTGCCACTTACTAGCTATGTCTCTTTGGGCAAGCTGTTTAGCCTCTCTGTGCCTCATTTCCTACTCTGTAAAATGGGGATTTTACAAATTGACTTAACACCCCTCCTCCAATGAAAGATTTAAAAAATGGACTCTCAGATTAATTTCCATTCCCTCCTGCTCCAGTTTGAGTTAATCGAATTATTTTTGTCAAGATTTTTAACACCTACATACTATTCTGTAGCCATAGTATGATCATTTAGCTTTAATATAACATTTATGTGAACTGATTTCTCAGCTCCAGGACTCTCAATAACATAAGAAAGCTTATTAATAGCTTTCTCATTCCTCAGCTGTTTATTTGATTAATTGTCATCAGTGGTCTCCCCATCCTCAAAACGTCAAGTTTGAGTGCTTGAAAATGTCTTTCTCTTGTCTTTATACATAACGGCAGCTTGGTTGTATGTACAATTCTGGGATCATGCTCTTTGCTTTTTCCAGGCACAGGGAGCAGCTAGTGCAGAAGAGTAGAATAAAGATAGGACTTAGAAGGATAGGGCCTGAAAATTCAGGGCCTTGTAGGCTGTTCTATGATGGGAATCTGTTCTAGTGAGTGAGTCATTTAAGCAGGGGTGTGATATGACCCAGATTTTAATTTGGAGGAAGCATCGAAGGGAAGAATAAGCACGGAAGTGGGAGGTCAGTCAGGAGCTAGTGCAGTAGTCCAGGCAGGAGGAGGTGGTGGTGGTTTGGGGGCCAGAGTGAGAGTTGTGAGGTAGAACTGACAGGACTGATTAGCGTAGTGGATATGGGAGAGTGAGATGAAGAGATGAAGAATCAAGGAAGACACCCTGGATTCTAATCCGAGCAAATGGATCGGTGGAGGTGGAATTTACCGAATTAAGGTAGACTGTAGGAGGAGGTGAAATCAAGAGTCTGTGTTGGCCGTTTTAGGTCTGATGTCCCTTCTTCACTTCCCTCCAGCTCCCATCCCCTGCTTTAGTGTATCCTGGACCTGGATCCTCTAGGAATGTTTCTTCTGGGGTTCAGCTGTGACACCTGGCCAAATTGTGGTCTAAAAGATTTTAGCTGGCTTCCTGAGACGCTCTCAATTACTTCTAGAGAAATAGGTTCTGCATTTGAGATCTGGAAATGTGTGCATTAGCTTTTAGCATCTTCCTTGGTTTTGATCACAATTTTACCGTACCTGGCAGGTATTCATGGTAGTGTGTGAGTTGAGTTTTACTGTCGATTGAATTTTCTCTTCTAACTTGATTAATTTGTTAATTTCAGTGGTTTTTCTGGGGGAGGGAAGGAAATAACTCTTATTCTGCCATCCTTTTCCAGAAGATCCCTCTACAGTTAGTTTTAAACCACCCTTTGTGTATGTGTGACTTTGGGCTCTTATTTTTAATGGCCTCTGAGTTCTAAGATAAAAGTTGAATTAGAAGTTCTCTAAATGTCTGCATGTCTATTATAACAAACCACATTAATACATTATTATTACTTCTGTCTAGGTGTTTCCTGTAATGTTTCTGTGGATAAGGAACAGATACTATCCAAACGTGAAAATGAAAATGGTTGGTGAGTAAGGCTATATCTATGTAAATATGTATGTTAGAGAAAATGTTTATTTTTCAAATAAAAATCTTTGAAAAGATTATTACCAGTAAGATTGCTTGGCATAAAACTTTTTTCATGGTAATCAGTATAAAATCTTTAGTCATTCTCATATATCAGTTCTTGGATGATGGTGGTCTCCTTTAGATATGGAGTTGGAAGATTCTGAAGGCAAATTCTGACACTTCCTTTTTGGGTGTTTGGGCTTGGTGCTGAAGAAAATCTAAATTAAAAATAGAAAAAGAAAATATCTTAAAATCTCAGAACCAAAGGGTGCCTTAGACCAGGGCTACACCTTTTTCACGTCATGGCACCCATAGAAAATGCTGGTATCATAAGTACACACATATACACACACATATGGCCTATCGAGGTAAATAGATGAGGCTGCACATGGCCAGAGACAACACGGGGGCTCCAGCAATCCCAGGCCCTGTGCTGCCACTCCAAGGGTTGAAGGGATCAATGTCTTGGCATACCTGCCACCCATCTGTTATAAGTGGCATCCTTAGCAAACTGGGAACTTAGCTAAGGGCATAAGACTAATTAGTAGTAAGAGCCAGGAGGATCCTTGTCTCTCCTCGCTTCGGAAGTGGAGAACTTCCGAAATCTAGTCATTTTGATACTTTCACCGTTTTTGCCATATCTGTGTACCAGCTGTGCTATCATGTACTTAATATTTTTCTTTAAATTGACTCAGAATTTCTGTATTACTGCCATAAATGTAACATTTGCTATAAATGATAGCAAATCAGAAAATAACTGAAGGTAATTACAGTGAAAACAAATGTTATAAAATTCCAGCTGATAAACTATTGCCCGGCCGGTTCTGAGCCTGAGGTCTGTTCTCTCAGTGTTAAAAGATTTGCAACTGTGAGATTCGTGTTAAAGACAGTCTAGCACCAAACTGAGACTTTCTTCTTTTCATGATCAGGAATGGTAGAGAATTGAAAAGGGAGTTGACTCTCTTACTCTTTGAGCCAGTATTTAGACCTGTTTACTTGTATGACCTGAACCCATCATTTATGCCACCTTACATTGTCTTGAATTTCACGAGGGTCACATGTTCCAATCCACACTTCTGGAAATACCATATTGCTTTTTGATGCTTGTGAATATCGACAAGGCCTCTCTTACCGAATACCTGCCTGAGCCATTCTGCAGATGGCGGACAAGCACTGGTGGGTTTTAGAAATACGTCGTAGAGGAAGCAGTGCTGTTTCCTGTCTTCATTCTGACTCTGTCATTTGTTAAGTCTCTTATAAGCTAACTCATTACTTGTTTGAAATCACCTTATGATTTCTGGCACTGCTTTCTCAATATTGTTCAATGACAAGGGTGAATGGTCAATTCCTTGCCAGCTGTGAAAGCAGGAAGATGCAGTAACAGTAGCCACCATCTCTTCATTGCTCCTCAAGAAGTGTGCTTGGGTTTGTGTGTATTCTTAAGTGGTAGTTAGTTTGATAAATCAGGATAAAACACTTATCCACCGATCAGTGAAGTTTTGCTTTTTGTGTTTATCTAAGTACCTTTCTTGTCTTTTGACACCTGAATTAGATGTTAGTTCAGTCTTGATAATTCTGTGTGGCAGCCTTGTAATGATCATGAGGTTTGATATGTAGCAGGGAGATTTGCCTGTTTGCTGTCAGTGGTGTAGGTAGGGTTTCTCGTAGAAAACCGTAAAGCAGCTTATAAAAGCTTATAGAGGCTTCATATATGGTCGGTAGCATATTATCTAGGTAATTCTATCACCAGGGAGAAGTCGTAATTTATCCATTTTGTTCTTTGTTCCAGATGTTGCTGTCTCTTGGTGTCTGTAGATGAATAGTAATGCAATCTGTAACAAATTATTTGAGTCATGGTTGACTCCGTTTTTCTTGATAGCAGGAATAGCTATTTTAGTTATTGCAAGTGGCTCACATACCAATAGGAATTACAATACTTTCGAAATAATAGTTATCTTTTGTACTCTATATTACACTATCGCGATCATTACTAGATTTATATCACCAGTTATACTCAACTTGCTATATGTTGGGACTATGTTTTTAGCGTACATATTTATAGAATGGTAAATTTCAATGGGTCAGTTTGATAAGGCATTTGGGAGACAGTGGATTCTAGGTTTTAAAGAAAACATGAATTGACATTAGGGGTGGGGGATATATATTCAAATACGAAGAGCCTGAATTGGGAGGTAATGGGAACAAAGGAACAATTTTTTGGAGAAATAATGATAAATTATTAAGTAAAATATTTGTGAGTTACCAATGTCAGACACATCTGTAGTTGATAAAAGAGTGTTAGCGTCAAAATATAATTTTTTTTTAAAAAGGCAACATGTCAAAGATTTATATAACTCATTGGCGGGGGAACCAGAACGCAGCAAAGCTTGTTGTGGAGGACACTTCCTGTGGAACAAATAGAGTTAATGTCCTACAGGGCAGTGAAACCTCAACCTTCGGGGTTATTTTTTCTACCAGCAGAAAACATTTGCATCTGTACCAGGCTAAAATTATTTGTAATTTACTGATCTTCTTTCTAGAGAGTCTGGACACTAATCATTAGTAAGTAGTAAACAAACAATGATACCTCCACGAGAGCAAACTGTGGTGCATGGGCTGGGTACCTGTTTTGGTAAATACATTTTATTAGAACACAGACAACATTTATTTAGTTACGTATCATCTGTTGCTGCTTCTGTGCTACAGTGGTAAAGGCAAATAGTTGCAACGGGTACCATATGGCTTGCAAGCCTAAAATATGTTCTCTGGACCATTAAAGAAAATTGGCCTACCTCACCCCAGCATGGTAATGATCCTTAGTGGGCTTGTTGAATAATATGGCATTAAAAGGGCAGGTAGAATCTTATTCGTTTATTTACAAATTTTTGATGATTTTTCTTAATACCAGATTGAGGTATTCATATTTATGAAAACACCACCTTAATATCCTCTATTCTTGTCACTTTTGTATGTGCCCCCTGTCACTAGGTGCTTAAGGCAATGTGGCCTGGAGGCAACTGTCTACATTCCTAATATAAACATCTTATTATTTTTTTCCTTCTTTATACATATGGCTTAGTAGAGTCAAAATAACATACTCTAGCAATTTATGCATACGTTTAAGTGCTTATGGATTTTAACAATGGGACTTGTAACAAGTTGCTACTTTGTTTACTAAAGCAGTGGCATTTCTTTATCACAGTGTTTTGGAGACTTTGTACTGCACAGGATGCTCACTCAATCTTGGCTACAGATATAGATGCACACCCAATAATCTAGATTACAAGAGGGACTTGTTTTGCCTCAGTGTTGAAGCCATTGAAAGGTAAGTTTGATATATAAACAGATACCTTGTAACAGAATCCTCTTTTGTAGAGAATTAGGTATGAAAACATCAGAAGTAAATCAACACTTTGATTAAAATATATTTTCAAGTAATAATTTCTGACAGCAAAACCAGTGATTTTTTTTTTTTGACCTGATTATTTGGCATTGGAAAAGTCAGACATTCTAAATTGTAAGGAGAAAATACTGTGAGAACATTTTTCATTGTAAAAATATGTTCAATGGTTCTTAAAAATAAAATTTAGTTTAATAGGATTTTTTTAAAGCAATTGTGTGGGTCAGTACATTTTGTTCATTTTATTTTTGCCCTGTTAGCTTCCTAGAATGTTCTGAAGAAATAGGAGTTTCAAAATTGGTTAGGAAAGAAGTCCCTTTGGTATTCTGGAAGAGCAGAAATACTAAGTCCAACTATTTCTGTTTCCTCGAATTTGGTAAATTGTCTTCTGCTTTTTTGAGAGATGTAAGAAAGTGCTTTCTTTCTCTCTCTCAGATTTCTAAAGAGTGTTGGGAAGCAAGGTGAATTCGGATCTGACGACAGACATAACTTAAAGGATTTTAGATATCCTAATGACCTTCCAATTCATTAGCCTTTTGTTATAGGAAACAAAATTAAATAAATCAATTGACCCCAATGTATTTTCACTTATCCTGGAAAAGAAGTAACCCGTAAGACTTTAAAGATGCCCAAGTAACCTTACATATCAGGACAGAGGAACAATTTATGAAGAAAAGAAAGTGCCTACACTTTGATTACTCGAGGTATTTTGCCACTCCTGTTAAATTTCTTAGATTTTTTCCTCTTTAACAAATTTCAAACTATTCTTTTTGTTATAATTTCTTATATAATTATTCTTTGCTAATTGCAGTTTTGCTACCTTCTTTGAAACTGGACAGGTTTAGATCAAAATTTTAAAATCTGCAAACTTTTTACAGCTCTTACACGAAAGAATAATATGAGTACGGTTCATGGCTGTAAGGCATGTGCGTCTGTCTGGAGAGAGATCAGATCTGTTTTGTTTTCATACACGAATAGAAGACCCGGCCGATAGAGATGCTCCCTTAATCTCCTTGAGAATTCACAAAGATTTATGAAAATTAAGTGAGGGAGAGAGCAACTATAATAGACATGAAATCTCAATCTAGTAGGGTTGGTACAAAACTTTAAAAGGGATGCATATCTCTATAAAAGAAAATGAGTGGAAGATTTTGCTATACAGGATCACAGCATTGAAGCTATTTTTTCCTGAACAGTTGAATTTAGGGTAAAGTTACCTCTTGGGGCAGAATTTTAATGCAAGGAACCCGGTTTGTTTTAGAAGTGGATGCCCTCTGTAATGTTTCTTTACAATTTTATAAATTACTCAGTGCCATTTAATTTTTCCACCTCATCTCACTTGTTTTCTAAATACATTGTAAATTGCCTTCTGCAGTTTTGCCTCCCATGCTATTTTTTAGATATATAATCAGCTGGGTTTCTAAGGCAAGACTTCTTATTTGATAAAAGAAGTGATATAGTGAAGTTGCTGAGTGTAGTAAATGACTTCTAATAAGTAAATGCAACTGAATCAAGTTTTCTTTTGAGATACACTAGCACCTCCTTCCTTCCTTTTAGATTTTATTTGGTTACCAATGCTGGGCCTGTTTTCCTTCTGTTGCCGGACCAATCTTTCTGCTATTCCATATTTTCTAAACCACAGCATCTCATAACCCCAGAGAGTGGAGCAAAACATGACTGGGAGGATGACTGTTGAAATTGACCAAATTTGGGTAATCAGGAGTTGACTCCACAAATTATTATTTACTAAGAGTCCAATTTTAAAGTACACACGTTCCTGAAAGGTTATATAAAACAAAAAAGTGACTTCTTTAGGCTCTTTTTTAAACTTTAAAATAGAATTTCGAACTATGAGTGTTAATATTTTGCCACCCAACTTACTAAAGAGTAAGTTTATTCCCAATAATAAAATACTTACATTATTGGGAAACATGTAAGAATATCTGGACAAAGTCATTATGGAGAAAAACATGATTTTATGTAGTACACCTTCCTGTGTAGGTTGCTCTTAACACAAATAGTTTTATGTGTCTACTTGGTACTAATATATAGTGTAATGTACTTAAGAGTTTTAATATTATTAACAAATTTAATATTTTCTCACTTTTCATATTTTAACTTTGTACTATGCTGTATTTCAGTTATGTTTTAGGGTCCTCTGAAAAGCAGATTGTGTCAGAAGATAAAGAGGTTTTTAATCTTGAAAGCAGAATTGAAATAGAAAATTCTCTAAAGCAGGTAATTTTGTTCTGCACATTTTATATCTTTGAAGAACTTCCTGTCAATGAACAAATGCTCATAATGGCATCTGTTCTGATCTTGGCACTTTCACAGTAAGAAAGTACTAGTTTTATATTAGTTGTTAGGAAAGTTGATTTTTTGGGAACCAAATTACAAATTAAGGTAAAGCTTAATCTAAAAAATAATAACGAAGCCATTTCATGCCAAAATCAAAGTAATATATATTCTGAAGTATTAAACTAGTAGAAATATATCTTTGAATCAAATCAGTATTTCATTTGATTCAGTTCTCAGGTATAAGCAGCCTTACTTCCGAATGTTAACATCTCATGGCCGGACAGGCAAGATAGTGATGAATGAATAAAAGCTATAGATTAGAGGTTGAGAACTAGTTAATAGACTTATGTCTTATTACATAAAATTTAGTTTAAATTCATTAAATAAACACTGTGCGGAATGCATAACATTCAGAAATTAATGATGTATATTTTAATCATATTCAACCATGTATGATTTTAATCACAATTTTTTTTTTTTTTTAATATATTCTTTTTAATTCAATAGATGGAAGATGTTTTGAAAGCATTGCAAACGAAGCTGTGGGAGATTGAATCAAAACTGTCCTTGACCAGTTGCAAAAGCTGAAACCTGTTCCAGGTCCATGTGGACTCCCCCGCCGATTAGATAATGTTTTTGTATGTACCAATTCTTGTTATAATTTACTTCACCTAGAACCGAGGGAGTTCTGAATGGCTGTGTACAGTGTTTTCGCTTGTATTGTTCAAATGAGAGTAATTGTAGAATGACTTTTATGGCTGTATTTGGTGGTAAAGAGATGAGTGTTTGAATTTTTCTTTTTAATTTTAAAGCCACCTTAAGATACTTGCTGGAAATAGAATTTAGGAGTTTTTATTCTGATGAGAAACTGCCATGATTTTCTGAACTATTTTCTCCTTTGTATCAAATTCATTATTCTTCATTTCCTATTTTTTAAAGCTTTATTTCACCTTCGATACTTAGAGTAATATGTAATATTGAATGGTGAGAAAATCTTAGCAGTTTTTCCACACAGTGTTGAATCTTCTCTGAAACTAATGCATACATCTCTGGAGAAATGGGTCAGTTGAACTGTTTGTCAAAACTATTTGAAAACTTGCACAAGAGCAGAATAGCTTGTATTCTAAAAGTAGAATTCTCCTTGATCTTGTTTATTTTCTACCGTATACCCCCCAAATCTGGAAGAATATTTACCAAAGAGAGTAGTAGTTATCTCTGGGAGTGGGATTCTGGGAAGATTTTCAGTTTTCCAGTTTTCTATAATGTAAGACTTACAGTAAGCACATGTTATTTTTATAATCAGGAAGAGAATGAAGATTAAAACAAAGTGCTTTATGATTGATTTTTATGAAACGGAATTGTGGTATTTAACGGAGCTCAGAAATCCTGTGCCAGAATTCCACACACTTGCTGGATGTGGCACTCACTGTACCAGGCCTGCTCAGGAACATAAAGGTAACCCCAAGTTCCCCAGACCCCTTTCTATTTTGAGGTACAGATGAAGCTACCTAACAGTATTCAGTATGTATAAATAACTCAATTTTCACTCCGAAGTTCCCTAATTATTTCAGAGAATATTTAAAGTTATCATAACAAAAACTCCTAGGTCAAATTGACTTGATCATTCACAATTATTAAACTCTTTTTGATTGATTGTCAGCAGCCTCCAATAATTTGAAGTTAGCGAGCCCTCTAGGTTCCTTCTCTCACAAACTTGGTAGAACATGGTAGAGTGAAAACAAATATCAGCACCTGCCGTACAGTCATCCTACCTCAGTAAGCTTGGCGAGGTCCCAAGAGTCTGTCTTCTTAGGTGCTTCGGTGGCACCTTGTGTGAGAGAGTATTTTAACAGCAAGATTCAGCTAACTTTCTGGTCGGAGCAGAATCCTCCAGCAGTCAATTTCAGGGCCATTCAGAGAGGTAGGCAATTTGCTTCCCTAATTCTTTTTACCCTGTTCATACAGGGGCAGGATTTCTAACCAATCCACACATCTTGAAAACTACTTCTTTCACCAATGAAAAGTAATTTCTTATATCCGCAGTGCTAACTTAGGCTCTGTTGTGGGTCAAGAGAGAAGCAGCTCAAGTGCCTTTGTGGCTACTTCTGGTGTGGGCCTTTGATGACCTTTCCGTGCAAACTCGCCGTCTCTGGCTTTATAACTAGGGTCCTTCAGGTGAAGTTAACAGCAGCTTGCGGGGTGCAGATATAAAGCTCACACTCATTTGATTGAAAGTGTATCTGTGTGCATTTGCATCACACTGAAACATCTAAAAGCAAATCCCAGGAAACATCATATCTATATCTTTGGCTTCTTCCTGTGATGTCACTGAAAGGGTGGCCTTGTCTTCACTGGGAGAGAGATCCCCGAGGCTTCCACACTGCGCACCTCAAGGCGTCTAGGTGGGACCGCTCTGTCTTCCCTGTGCACTGCACTGACACTTACTTGCAGGAGGGAGCCTTTCCCCACGCTGGACCAACCTCTCTGGGGCCGCCTGTTTCTCTGAGGCCCAGCAGCCTTGCTTTTCTGGCTTGCGTGAGGTCTCATCGGAACGCTGTTTTTTAAAATTTGTCTTGTATATCTACATATTAAAAACTGCGACTTGATGAATGAGTTCTTCTTTCTATTTCTTCTAAGTGAATAATGCAATGCAGTGCACTGGTGCCCCTGTCACTGAGCCATTGTAAAGCACTTCCTGCGAGCAGCAGTCAGGGTGCTGAAGCAAGGGATGGACCTTCCAGCCCATGTGGCACAGGGCCCAGCAAAGAGGCTTCAGACAGGATCTTCCCAAGAACTGTTCCTTCAGCCACCCCCGTGAGGGGTGCTTCTTAGTTCTTGAGGGAGAAGCTGTGGAGACTGATCTCAGAACCCATTACGTGGCCTTTAGAGGTTGTCGTGAACATGTGTGTCTGGAACATCGTACGTGGTTTTTACCCCGGAGCGTGGGTTCTGTCGTGTCAGTAAACTCCTGTCGTGCTCACGTGCCCACGGGGGACGTTCTGCACAGCATCAGTGCTCGTGTGCAGTGCACCCCACCTGGATGGTTCTAGTCGTGCTTACCCCGGAGCGTGGGTTCTGTCGTGTCAGTAAACTCTCCTGTCATGCTTACGTGCCCACGGGGGACGTTTTGCACAGCATCAGTGCTCGCGTGCAGTGCGCCCCACCTGGATGGTTCTAGTCGTGCTCGGGGCATGTAAAATGGGCAAAACCAGGAGAAAGACTCCTTGCAGAAGTGGGTCTAGGTGTTCAGTAGGAAATTCTTGAAAGAAGGAGCCAGCGCAAAGCTTCCTCACCATGTTTTTCAGGAAGATCTTTGGGGTGGCAGAAGTTCTGGGTCAGAGGCCCACTTTAACTGCTTCATTAGCCATGTGACCTTGGGCAAATCATTTGATCATTTTGAGCCTCTGTTTCCTCATTCATAAAATGAAGGTATAATAATCTGCTTTCCGTCCATCACAGATAAGTTAGATAATGGTTGCAACAGAACAGTAGTCTTCTCTTATCTACAGTTTTGCTGTCCACGGTTTCAGTCACCCATGGTCAACTGCAATCCAAAAATATTAAATGGAAAATTCCAGAAATAATTTTTAAACTGAGCGTCATTCCGAGTAGTGTGATGAAATCTCGCATGACCCTCTCTGTCCTGCGCAGGACGTGAATCATCCCTTTGTCCAATGTCTCTATGCTGGAGAGGCTACCCACTCGTTAATCACCGAGTAGCTGTCTGGGTTCTCAGGTCCACTGTCACACTGTTACAGTGCGTGTGTTCAAGTGACCCTTACTTAATAATGACCTCAAAGTATACGAGTAGCGATGCTGGCAATTTGGATATGCCGAAGAGAAGCTGTAAAGTGTATATATGTATAAGAAAACACAGTATGCGTAGGCTGTGGTACTATCTGGGGTTTCAGGTGTCCCCGAGGATAAGGGGGGACTACTACCCTACTTTGAAAATAGTCAAGCATCACAAAAATAAATAGCAAAGATTGAGCCATGTTTGAATAGAGTTGATCTGATTCAATCTTCTAGCCAGCCTTCCCATAAAATTCTGTGGATGTAAAAGAAAAAAATCTGAAATGCAATTTTTTATCTTTTAAAAACATAACACATTGCATTTATTTCTTTTCCTAATTACTAATATAATATATGAACATTGCAGACAAATAGAAAAACAGAAGTATAGCTCAGGGAAGAAAGTAAAATCCATACATAATCTTGCAGCTAAAAGATAATTATTCCCTTGCATGTATGTCCTTGTAGTTCTTTTATATGCAAAAAACACTTTTCACTTAAAACATTTCATAAACATATTTCTGCACTTTTAAATATAATTATAACCTGTTTTTAAATGACTACCTAGGATGAAACTCCTATTTTAAAACCTGTTTAAATGTGATCATATTGTGTGATATTTATTTTTAGTAGCTTAACAACCGAGTTTATTTATCAAATAAGATAATGCATAAATGAAATTTTATACCATTCACCTCTTTGTCTAGCTCCAAGGTATTCAGGAGCTGAGAGCCAATCCTTAAATTTTCAGGAATTTTGTGAGCTGGTTGTTAAATCATTGGTAGCTTCACATTGGTTATAGTTAGGACTATTTCCACCACAGAAATCAGCAAGTGCTAAAAAATCAGGATTTTTTTTAACCTCAGAGAGCTGATTTCCCCGCCCATTACTGTATATGTTGAATCGCTCTCTATACCATTTGACTTAAAGTTTAGCAGAGAAGATGACTTCCTCTTCAACACCCAATACAGCAAGTCCTCACATTTTCATTTAATAAATCTAAAATGAAATGTATCTTAAGACTTTAACAATTACAACCATATTCTTCTTCTGGAGGAAAAGCAAAATACTGTACAGTCATCTCTCAGTATGTGAGGGGGTTTGCTTCTAGGATCCCTTCAGACCCCAAAATCCTTGGATGCCCAAGCCTCATATAAAATAGCATAGTATTGGCATATCACCTATACCAATGAGTTTAAACCATCTCTAGATTACTTATAATACTCAATTAAAGGGAAATGCTATGCAAATTATTATTACACTGTATCTAGGAAATCATGACAAGAAAAGCCTGCACATATTCAGTACAGAGGCAACCATCAGACCTAACTGCATGGTACAACAACCTAATACTTTTTTTTTAATATTTTCAGTCTGCGGTGGGTTGAATCTGAGGATATGGAACTCATGGATACGGAGGGCTGATTGTACCTGAAAGCTAATGACTTAAGATTTTATATAAATAGTCAATATTATATACATCGTTTTTGTTCTTCCCAAGTAAGACAAATAACTGGGCAGTTTCACGCAGGTGAACAAGCAAAGTTCATTTGCATTCACTTTGGAACTGAGGGAAGCGCATTTATTCTTGATCTAACCCAGCCTTGTTTTGGGTTCTGACCATTAATTTTGTTGAATAAGAGCCGAGTTCCATTTGTAGGGTGTTTGGTTATCAGGGCAGCTGATCACGATGGTCCGAGTTCAGTCGAGGCCAATCTGTATAATTCTAATCTCTTCGGAATGTTTACGCTCGTCTAACTTGTGATCATAAACTGGGAGGCAGTGAGGGGGCTGAGGAAAGGATGCGCTGTGGCCCCAGCGTCATTTCAAATGGAACTGGCCTCATTTCATTCAAGTCGGCTCCTACTGACTTCTGCTAGCTCGACAAAATTAACTTTTTTCACCTAAACCGTGACCATCATGGTTTTCGATATCTTCCATCTGACTAATTTTAAGTCAGAGAGATGGACAAGGTAACCCCTCAAGAGTCCTTTCAGCCTTATAACTCATGTAAGCTGAAAGGAAACGTGGAATAATTCAAAGGGGGCAGGGAGGGTCCACGAACCGGCTTGGCAGCCTCGAGGAAACAGAAGAATTTAGTGCTTTTCTCAACGCTGTCACCTTCGTCTCTCTCTCCACTAACTGTTGTCTACTTACAATTTTGGAGGCTTCTTGAGAATAATAGAAATTTTGAAAAAGGAGGTTATGTGTTTGAACAGCATTTTCCAAATCAAATACAAGAATGTAACCATTCTGAAGAGAAATCTTATGCAGCCTTCAGAAGGTTTTCCCTGACGGGGACCGAGCGGCTGCTTCTCGACACACTGCTTCCCCGGAGATGGCTTTTCTTTTCTCGGTGAGCACTTAATGATCATTCATTTACCCCGCACCACGCGCTGTGCTCGGAGCTCCTCCTATGTCGCCTCACCCAGTTCTCTCAACCCCCCCCCACAGAGGATCATAGCGCCCACTTCATAGATGCCGAAATTGAAACTCAGAGAAGCTGAATAAATGGCCTTGAGTCCCACTCCGCTGAGGACGGGACCCAGTGCTTTCTGAGCTGCAGTTGGGATGACTCCTTGTTTCTTAGTAGGAAGATGCATCTAGGGAAGTTGTGTGAGGTGCTACAGTGCTAGCATTTAGTGTCCAGAAGGGTCGAGAAATCAGGATCTTCTCCTTTTTCTTTCTTCCATAACATGAAGCTAATTGAGCCCTTTGGACGTGAATTCCCTTCCCCCCTCCGTCCCCACGGTGAGATTCTCTGGCTGCCGTAGCTGCCCGCCTCTGCGCTCTGCCCGCCTCTGCGCTCTGTCCACAGGTGCTGGCTGGCCCGTTTCAGGCTCTCACCACTGCACGTGTCTCGGGTCTCCCTTTGCGTTGCTTGTTTTACTTGCTTGCACTTAACCACATCAGACATCGTGCTTCACGTGTTTGTCAGTCCATTGTCTGTTTGTCCCCTGGAGCGTCATCACCAGGGCAGGATTGCATCTGAAAGTGTCGCAGCCACATAGTAAGTGCTCATCTAATCTGAAATGCAATGAATGACCATCGCTGCATCGCACACCGACTTTCTCACATCTCCAGTCTGTCCACTCTCCCACCAGAGCACGCTCAGGTCCCTCCTCGGTGACAGACATCCTTCCCATGGCCAGCCAGCTCACTGAACTGCTGTTCTCCTAACGTACCCCCTCTGCCCACTTGAGACCTCAGCTCTCACCCTCGGTCGTCCACTCGGCATTTCACCAAAACCACTCTCTTGAAGGCCACCCGCGAATTCCTGCGAAGTGTTCCCGTCTGCAGTCCCTGCAACTTCCGACAGTTTAAAATCGTCCTCCCCTTTAACACGCTCAGCTGTCTTTATTGCTGAGCGGTGCTTGGTGAAACACGCAGGGGCACAATGCCACGAGGCCCAGGGTTTGCTGCAGAATGTTTTGGTGAAGTGACGGCACAGCGAGAGGCATTGCACGGTCAGCGTCCTTGATCGTCGTCGATCATCAGCGAATGGATATGGGGCTTCGTCACGTGCATGTTTGAAATGTTTTGTCAAACCCGAAAGCAAAGGCACTCGCGCTCTCTGTGGTCAGTGGCGTCTGACCTGCGCTCCTCGGCCCTTGGTGCCCTTTCCCGCCGCTCTTTTCCTCCTGCTCCTCCTGCTCCGCCCTGTTTCCTTCCACAGTCTCGGGTACTTCCTGCTCCGTGACTTCAGTGATTGTCCCTGTGTCTCTCATCCCCACAGCCCCGAACTGTCTCCCCTGGGCTTTGGTTCAGAATTCCCGATGATCTGCAGTTAACCCCCCGCCCCCACCCCGAGTGC